GTACGCTTACAAAGTCACAGAAGCCTGGGTCTTCACCGCACAAAAATTTAACAATTCTGCATATTCTGGATTTGTTGTGGATTTTCAAGAAAAATCCAAGTATAGCACCAGGTTGTACTGAGCTATCTTGGTAGATTCATAAACCTCCTAAGGAGCTTATTGGGTAACTGTTACTAAATTCAGGAGGTAAAAAGGGGAAAACCGATGTGACAACTAGAAATTAAGAGTGCTTTTCTGGGATTTGCCAAGTGTGGAGGGACTCAGGGGCACAGCTTAAAACGGGCTTTCCCCAAGGTGCTCACCCTGGACCGGCTCCGATGTGCACCCTTGGGTGGGACGCTGCAGGTGCTGTTCTGCACACTCTTGTTCTACGCTTTCTCGTGCGTTAGGAAGGAGGGTTATTTCGGAGCTATGCTCATCTTGGGAAAGTGCTTTTAGGAGAAGTCCCTTTTCCTTACTGTTCCTTCTGTCCATAATTCCCACATGGCTCCCTCCTGTGCTTCCTCCAGTCTTCCCCCAGAGCTCATCTGATTCGTGCAGCCTTCCTAGTCCCCCTGTCTGAAACTGCAGCATGCCCCTGTCTCCCTGCTGGCTTTTTCCCTTAGCACTACCTGGCTTAACATTTTTCAGATGTCACTTGCCTTGTTTCTTAACTCTCTCTCACTAAAGGGTCAGCTTTCTGAGGGCAAGGTTTTGGGTCTATTCATTGCTACATCCCCAACCCCAAGAACAGTACTTAGCCAGTTAGGCACCTAATAAGTATTAGTTAAATGTTAACTAAATCTGGCTCCTGACAATTCATGTTCTTTGCTAGAATTAAGAAACACTCCCGGATTAGTGTTTCCCCTTTAAGTTCGGTAATTAACTCTGCTGTCATATTGTCCACACGTCTGTCTCCTCAGTCAGTCTCTGCTGGATCTCTAAGGACAAAAACTGTTTTATTCACCTTAGATATGCCAGCACGAGCATAATGGTAGTATTAATCATTAACATTGAGATAATCTGCATAATTTCTCAGAGTTCAGCAAAGATTTGAAGGAAGGAAAAGAATATTTGCTGACTTTTCTTTACCTAGGAAAAGGTAGTCAGGGTTATATAGTGGAAGGCATCTTGGGCTGGGTTCACCTACCAGCTTCACGATCCCAGCTTCTGCCCAGGGATGTGACCTTGGGCAAGGCTTCTCTCCATTCCTCCTTTATAGAAGAAGTGGTTTACCAGATGGTCTTTAAAACAGGCTCTCCCAGCTCTGACGTTACCTATGGGCCTAGCAGGGTTTCTCAGCCTAGCACTGTTGACATTTGGGGCTGGATGTTTTGTTGTGAGACATTTAACAGCATCCCTGGCCTCTACCCATAGATAGCAATAGCACCACCCCCACTGTGGCAACCAAAAATGTCTCTAGACTTTGCCAAAAGTCTCCAGAGTAAAGCAGCCCCCAAATGAGAACCACTGTTGTAGACCAAGTCTGCTCCTTCTGTCCAGATACATACTTAATTTACCAAACAGCATTACATAAGGAAGCTAGGTGTTTTACCTCTGGTGACCCAGTACTCTTTCTTCCTTTAGGACAAGGTAGTGGTAAATGACCGATGGGGTCAGAACTGTTCCTGTCACCATGGAGGATACTACAACTGTCAGGATAAATTCAAGCCAGAGAGCTTGCCAAATCACAAGTGGGAAATGTGTAGCTCCGTAGACAAGGTCTCCTGGGGCTATCGTCGCAACATGGTGCTATCTGACGTCGCAACTGAGTGTGAAATCATCTCGGTAAGAACGCTTACGAGTTAGGTGTTTGTTAACTACTATCTCCAACTAGCCTTCTAACTAAGAGTGGTGGGAGCATTCTGGGATGGAAGTGCAGGTCGATCTATCGACCCACTGGGGTCATTGAACATACCCACAGAAACCTGTCCTAAGGAAATCATTGTAATTACAGAAGAAGGTTTTACATACAGAGATGTTCTTCCCAGGATTATCTGCAGTTGGACATGTGGGTTGTGTTCATTTCTGGCAGCCATAAGGGGATGTTTAAGTAGATTTGGGCATTTTCCTTGACTATTAAAAAGTTTATGAATGTAATATTGGGTCAGTGCCTGGGGATTGCGTGAAAAAATAAGTTATGAATTACCATAGCTATATAAAATCTATTTCCACTGCATAGGAAAAAGACCAGAAGGGAGTATCAAAAGTTGGTGGTGTAGTGTCTTTGGGATACTGTAACAAATTCTCCTTTTTAAAATTTTATGAGGGGCGCCTGGGTGGCGCAG